TTTTCTGAGTAAAATGAAGGTTAAAACGGTAGTCACCACAGAAAACTGCTAGCATAATCTCATTTAATGAAGGAAAACTGGAAAGATTTGGGAAAAATCAGAGGTCGTTGAATCTCCAATAAATCTTCTGTGCTTTTGACCGGCACCGAATAAATCCTGTTGTGTTTCAATTTCATATATTAAACTGTCCCTAATACAAACATAGCAACAAAGCCCTAATAGAACCAGAAAAGCAGATCGGATGTAAATGAAAATCAGATGAGGAGGCCGTAAGAGAACGCATTTTTCGCCTAAACGAGGAACAAATTAACTTTTGCACCTGAGCAGTTCAAACTTTTGAATTTGTTTTGCATAAAACGCAGAAATAAAGTTTTTAGCCATATTTATTTTATCACACATAATATGGAAGCTTTACCGTGAACATGGACGCTGAAGGTAATATGCATTATATTTGAAGTATATAGCAAGATACGTTTTTACAGTATAATTTTCGCCGATGCATGATTAAGCAACAGAACCGGCTTGACATAAACAGAAACCTCGACTATATATTCGGCCATAGGGCTTAAAAGTAATTCGATATTAAAACAACGCTTCAATATAAAAAGAACAGTAATACATTTCATTTTCAGCTGAAATTGCATACAAATGTTCAGAAAAACCGAAAGCCGATCAACGCCCCCCATATTTGCTTTGCTGTGCTGTTGTAAGTGGAAGCTTGTTTAAGAATATTTTTTAATGAGTATCGAACTTTTACCGTGGATGTGAGACTTCGGGTGAGTCTACGCACAAGAAAAATAAAAAAAGGAAAAATAGATAAAATAATTTGTTAGTAAATACTTTTTAAGAAATATCTTGTTAAAAAGGTTTTAATACACGCACTGAACGAAATCTAAGTGCTAAATACAATAATTGGCAATAGGGAAATAGTAAGGTCTTCGCTGCAATTTCAAGGGTGATCCAAAGTCAATTTTAATCCACAAAGGGAAATGCCTATGAACAAATTTAAATAAAAGTGATTTATAAATCAATTCTATTTAGATTTATTGGTCAAGATTAGAGCAGTTTTTTACGTTTTCCAAAACCGCCTATTCTTTTTCAAGAAGTAAGCATTTAGAAACACACTTTAGTACTTTTTGAATGTATTTCAATTTTTTCTTTAGAGTATTTTATATTTTCAAAATGGTTTTGTAATGCGTGAAAGACGGTTTTCAGGTGATTATCAGTCGTTGGCAAATTTCCGCATTTTTCCTGAGTAAGGTCTTCTACTGCTTGTGCGGCTGCATAATACCTTCCGCTTATAATACCACCCACCGATGCTTATATATGGTTCATTTGATTTAAATTGCAAACATATTCACTTCGATTTTAGGTTGTACGATGATTTCCTAGGAGCTGTTACAGCCTTCAGATGGGAACACATTGAACGCATCAATGGCGCCTCAAACATCTTCTATGGCTGGGGCGGAGAGGACGATGACTTGGCAGCTCGTCTAAGACTTAACAAAATTCCAGTGGACAGAGCTTCCGACAACGACGGCATATTCGACGAATTTGATGCCAATCATCCACGCGATATGAACGAAATGCGAATAGAGTTAACTACAGAAGAGAGCGTCGCTCGTCGCTGGAAAACAGATGGGCTTAATCAAACAAGCTACCATCTCCATGACAGAATTAACTACGATTTTTTTGTCTGGCTTTTGGCGTCCGTTTAATTCACAAGCACTGGACTGTATAATGTGCGAGTGGATTAATAGTAATAGGAGGCCTTATCGGTACACAGATCAAGACACGCTTAGTTTGCTTTGGACGAGGAAGTGGTAAATGTATGCATTCTAATCTGCTGATATGTATGTACATCAACATACAGTTTACTTGTTTCACAAATAAAAAAACATTCCAACATCCGGCTGGCTCTATGGCCACAGATTATTTATTTCCGAAAAAACAGAAAGATATCAGAATCTTCGTTTGTCAGTACCAGCAGCATAAAGCGCATAACATATTGAACTACTGAGCTATATTTAAATGGCAACTTTTCAGCTTTATTGTTTGATTTTTGTACCTTGACAATTTTC